CTGATTATCTATGGTACACATTCAGGTAAGCCAAGGTTACCTCAGCATTTAATGGTTAAAATGACAGTTTTTTTTTTTTGAAAAATTTGAAGCGAAGCTTAAGTACTCAATAGAACAGAAAAATGCAGGTCCTCACTAAATACATCAAATGCTCGATCCATGCTTAATGTCCACTCACATGGACATGTGTTGTATGCATACGTCAATGGTGTGCATCAAGGTAACAATACTATTCTGCATCTCCCTAGTGTCAGCATTCAGGATTCAGGAAGACTTAACAAGTTACAGCACTTACTGTTTCAATCTGTCAACATTTAGGGTCTGCTCATGGAAGTCATGGGAACAGAACTTTCACTCTCGAGAAACCAGTTATCCTACACAAAGGACCAAACAACATTGCATTACTTAGTGCAACGGTTGGATTTCCGGTAATAGCAATCTCTCTACTTTTCTTCACACAGCTCAAGCAATATGGTATGTTGTCTTTCTATTACTGATCAACACAAACATGTCAATTCATCTGTTATATAGGATTCAGGAGCATTTCTTGAGCGTAAAGTTGCTGGGATACGTAAAGTCAGCATTCAACACAATGATTTCACCAACTACCTATGGGGGTATCAGGTATTTCTGGCCTTTCCTTTGCCTACATGGGAAACGTTATAAGATGCTCAGTTCGCTTTTTGCAACTTCATAACTTTACAGAACTAGGGTGGAAGAACTTATTATCCTATATTTTTACATTGTTATCGATTCTTTTTCAAGTTTGTGCAACTGTGTTGACCCTCTTAGAAACTTCGACAAAGGTTGGTTTGCTAGGAGAGAAGCTAGAGATCTACACAGACAACGGCCTAAATAGAATTCAATGGAAAAAGTTTGGGAGTTCCTCTCGCCGCCCACTTACATGGTACAAGGTATAAAAGTATATTAGCTAGCTCAACTGTAATAGTAGATGTTTTATTTATTTATTGAAGGATTTACACAAGAAAATAGTAATCTAGTGTAAGCTTTTGCTGTCAGCTTGACTATAGCAGAGAAGCACTTCTGGAATTTTAGAAATTAACTTCTCAAATATGTGATGGCATTTGGCAGACAAGTTTCGATGCACCAGAAGGCAGCGATCCAGTTGTCTTGAACCTAGGCTCCATGGGGAAAGGTCAAGCTTGGGTTAATGGGCAGGGAATAGGCAGATACTGGATGTCGTTTCATACACCCAAAGCACGTCCTTCACAAACTAGGTTTGTTGCTATTCAGTCATTACCTTTCTGCAACTATATTTGCTTTTACACCTTCCCTATTGCATATTCATCCATGGTCCTGGTTTTAGACTTTTGCCAGAATCACTTGTTAATGCCTCAACTAACATTACAGGTACCACATCCCTCGGTCTTTCTTGAAACGAACAGGGAACCTTTTAGTATTGCTGGAAGAAGAAATGGGATACCCCACTGGGATTACAGTAAACACGGTTTCAATCACCAAAGTGTGCCATTATGTTTCTGAATCGCACGCATCTGCAGCTCAGATTAGCTGTCCTCAAAACCAGAAAATTTCCCAAATACTATTTGCAAGCTTTGGAACGCCTTTGGGTGATTGCAAAAGTTATACAATTGGCAACTGCCACTCACCAAATTCTAGAGCTATCATAGAGAAGGTATGCTTCATTCTGCTGCTTAAAACTTGAACTACATGAACCCAACTAGATTTTTTTAATATTCGTGCCTGATATAGTGTCCTAACATTAACATACTTTCTCAGGCTTGCCTAGGAAGGGAGGACTGCAATATAAACCTTTCCAAACATATTTTTGGTGGTGATCCATGTCCAGGAATCACAAAATCTCTGCTGGTCGATGCCAGATGCTCAAGACATTGAAGAGTTCAGACAATTTTTTTTTCAGTAGATTAAGTATGTAATACAATTCACTTCCCCCTATAGACAGAAAGACATTGAGCATGGTCCCCAATCTAGTATATATATTTTGATATAGGGCTCACATTTTTGTTCGTATAATGTGTACCAAAACTAAACTTAAACTTCTCATGGAGTTCATTGCATAGGGAAATTATAAATGTAATCAAGGTAGGTTGCCATCGTACCTTTCTCTTTCAACGGGTTGATTCCAGCTCCAACATTCTGCCGAGAGAAAATATTGGAGTTCTTATCTTCATAATACCAATCATAGCCAACAAGCCTATTTAAATGACAAGAAGGCATTGAAATGCAATAACAAAAAACGATAAAAGGCAATCATCCAGACAACTACTTACTTTTCTATAAAATTATCTAGATGTTTACCATAAGAATACAGAGTGACAATTATAAGGACGGCGGAGTTTTTTTTAAGGAGGAAAGGATCATAGAAAGTTACCTATATATGAGAGTGTTACACTCAGTCATCTCCAAACGCGAAGTGGGGAATCATGCCCAAAAGTGATCCAAATAAAATAGGTAGCATCACTTCCCATCCCCTATTTGAAATGAAGACCTGAGATTACACCCAACAAAACAAGAGGGGCATATAAGCAAACTATGTAAAAGAACAGCAGAGTTGAGACTTCAGTATCACGCAACAACAGCCTCACCTTTCTTTGGTTTCTTGTCCTTAGTTATCAATGATTCAGACTCCTCAATAGTTCATATTAAAACCATGCTTAATGTACATCATCACTCATGCATCTGCAACACCACCACAGAGCTTTGGCGTCAGGTGAGTGCAAACAAGCTCAGGCAGAAGGTGTCTAATCAGCTAGCACGTTGTATTTGAAGAAGAAGAAGAATTAGGGCTAACCTTTTACCAAACACCAGCTTCTCAAAACGCTCCAGAGTCGGGAACTCATGAAATTCGAAATCACCTAGGGTACCGCAGACATCGTCCCAACGAAGAAACGGAATTCACCATTTTAGGGATTCGGCCAAATGACAAGATTCGAGGAGCACATGGACTGAATCAAAAGTTCAAAACACTCCAATGGATCATGCCTAGCCTCCATGAGGTACCGAGCCAAGCCAACGCATCGAATCTCGAATCGGAGGATGAGAATTACTGTCAAATGTCAGCGAGGGAGCCGTCGACGTCGAGGAAATCGAGGAGCGCCGGTTTGCCATTGTCGTCGTCGTGGTGCTTGAGAAAGATTGAAAGAACAAATGAGGGTCAAGGGAAACGGCGTCTCAGAAGCCAATTCAACAAAAAATCGGCGCCTGAACTGAAGATTCTGATTTGTCTGGAGCAGCTTCCAATTCCAGTTCCAGGTCAGTGCAACATAAACGGTACAGGCGCATAACATTCAGAAAAGTCCAGATTTGAGTGGTGTAAATTGATGGCATTTTATTTTTATTAATTTTCTCAATAGGCTATTATTTTCTTTCGTTGTAGTTTACAAAATGAGATTCATTTTTAGTATATTTTGTTAAAAAAAAATTCATATTATTTGTTACCACACTTTGTTGTGGTAAACAATGATGAATGTGATATGACAATTTGTATATTCCTACTATCATGTATTCAACCATCCTTTTTTTTTTATAATGATGTATTCAACCATTCTTACTATGGTATGTTCATACCACCATGATACACTTCCATTTCACGTGGTATGATCTTATGTGATACCAAACATTACCACCTTAATATAGACCGGTACTAAATGTCACGAATTTTTTTGTTTAAATAATATATCAAAGTGAATATCAGTTTGAAGATCATAATTTATCGATGCAAAAAATTAAATTAGGACTAAAAAAAAAAGAGATATAGCCGGTTAAAATTTATAGAAAAAAGGGTTAGAGGCCTTCCATACATAGAGGCGTGGCAGATTATGCATAATTATTGATCATAAGATTACTGACTAGAACCGCTCTCGGGATAAACAATACCTCATGTGTTCTGCAAACCCAATTAAGATGGGTAATAGATGGAGCCTTTTCATAACCTTCTTTCTTTCATGGCATTAAAATTGCAGTCTTGCACACTCTATTCTAGGGAGGAATATGAGCATGGGGAGTACATCTGGGGCGCGCCAAAAATTTGAACTCGGGAAGAACTGAATTCTAATTTGATCCAATACACCCCCTAGCTCAAAGGCATAAATGAAAGAGCGTTTCATGGGAGGCAGCCCATGTTTTGGTCTAGGTTAAGGACGTTAAGCAATAGTACTACTGGGAGATAGGTCGAATTTCATTTTAAATTTCTCGTTGTAATTTTTTTGTGATTGATTATTCAATAAAGAGTTTGATTTTGTTTTAACGGGATAACTCAAGGGAGTTAGACAATTTCTCGTGCTGAGTAACGATTGATCATAGCCAGGTACGTCTTGCTTGTGCTATTTCGGGTCTACTTGTGCATAAAAAAAACAACACATAAACCAACTCAAGCAACTTAATCGAGTAGAATCATCAAAAGCCCATCCGAGGAAAAAATGACTCCCAAAACGACGATCACTTTCGTGTTTAGATCGGTGGGGCCGCCGAGTTGGAGGGGTCGGTATCCACGCTCATTTCACTTCCCTTTTCTCCCATTGCAACCATGTTCTTACTTATCACATTTCCACATCTAGTTATGCATACCCGTTTATGCAACTTATCTGGACCATAAATCGAATATCTAATATAAGATACTATCTTTTTACACATCTAAATAACATATCGTGAGGGATATTAGTATCTAGATTTAGCAAATTCCCCTTTGTCTAAAACTCTTGTCATTTCCCCCCATCATTAAGCTTAATCGCCTTCCTCCCTCCCTAATATTTAGCACTTTCTTCCGTTTAATTAGGCAATCACTCCTTTCACTTCATTCTTTATTGGTTGGAAGAATACGAATTCTCCACTTCTCTCCATCGAGCTTTTATTTTCCCGGCTGTCGTCGTCTTGTTGACCTTCGGTTGTGGTTGGGGGGAATTGACTTGGCCTTGACCACCACCATTCATTTTTCTCTCACTTGAATTTAAAGCCACAGCCTTTTTGCACATTGTAATTGTTCCTCTCATTCGTTCTTCATAGTTCCATCGGGATTTTTAGCGACGAAAATCAAAAGCCGGATCCGACGATCTTCTTCTCCGGCCACCACACCGTCGGGTTTCCAGCAAAAAAGAAAGATTGTTTTCTCGATCAAGAGGTAAATATGATTCGCTCCATCAAACGTGCTACGGGTTTCGTACGAGGTTTATTAATTGCGAGTTTTTTTTCGTGCGGTTCATTTTGTTTGTGTCCGTAACTCTCTGGATTCAGTTTTCGAGGACGAATTCGAAATCAATCATGTATTTGTGATGATGAACAATCAAAAGATTTCTTAAAATCATATGAGCATAATCGAGTAGAGTATTGGGGTTTCTGAAAAATTCAAATTCGTAAAATCATTTTATGGGACATACCAATACGGTACAAAGTTTTGGAATTTGATTGAGATAGAGCATGGAAAGTTAGTATACCAACTTAGTACTTTATACATAATTCAACAGGTACGATATGATACAATCTTATAAATACAGTTTTTTTTTAAAAAAAAGAGAAAAACATCCTTATTACCACCGTTGCAAACAAAATTTTATAGAAATGATTAAGGCCTTATTTTTACTATGGGATTTTCGACCGAATTAGATGATTCTACATAAATATTAAATGGTTATGTTGGATTTTGTCCACTCATTTTTTTTTCTTCTCATTGTGATCGATATATCTCAGAGAAAATCTAAATTTCAGAATTAAAACCACAACAAAAAACATTCATTCTTGTTTGATCCAATTCGATTAAATTATCAATTTGATGTGGGAATGGAATTATGCTCCACTTAGTGCATACCAAGATTAGCTTAATTACTTAAATATTCTACCGGTTTAATCTATGTACTATTTATATACTTGATTCAACAAAATTACTGTACCAATATTGCCCTAACAAAAGTTTTAAGGACTTAAATGCCCCTGAAAGGTTTTTTGTTCGACAGAAAATAGAATTGTTTCCACAAAAAGATAAAACACAAATTCAAAATACAAATTGTGGAACAACAATATATAAATACCAAGTCTCACACTTTTTCTCACTCTGGTTTCCGCCAAACAGCATTTTTTTCAGCGGAAGTCCAACAGAAATATTTACCGACGGCGGATGACCTGAATTTCCACAATCCCTGCCTCCGGCGGCGACGACTACCAACAAGACTTCCTCTCTCCACTAATCGAATTTCACCGAAGCCACGAGAATGGGGTCGGATAACAACACCGGAATGGAGCGGAGGCTACTCGTGTCCCCGAAGTCACGATCGGACGGCGGCGACGAGTCCTCCGCCGCCGGCGACGGCGCCCTGACGTGGAGCGTGTTCATCCAGGAGCTGAAGCGGCTGGGCTACATAGCCGGGCCGATGGTGGCGGTGAATCTCTCCCAGTACCTCCTCCAGGTGATTTCCCTGATGATGGTTGGACACTTGGGGGAGCTGGAGCTCTCCAGCACCGCCATAGCCGTTTCTCTCTCCAGCGTCACCGGTTTCAGCGTCCTCGTAAGTCTCCCCTGTTTCTTATCTTCTTCCCTTCCTCTCACCCTTTTCCCCCCTTTTCTACAACCGTCGTCACGTGTTCTTCTGCCGCACTGTCATTTGTACTCTTGTGCCCCTACCTCTATGATTGCTCTGCCTCTGTTTACTCTGATCACCGTCGCCATTTTGAATTTGGCGTATATGCATGTTGCGGAAATCTCTTTGTCCACTGTTCTTCCACCGGTTGATTGCATAATTGGATGATCTCTGGCCCAAAATTTGAACTGGGTCGATGTTGTTGTATGTACATTATCAATTGACTAACCTCTTTGCTTGGATTATCACATTAGGGTTAGAGTTCGTAGGTCTGATTTGGGCGTGAAATTGTGTAAACGGAGAACGAACGATCCATGAAGCTGATTAGGGATGGTCTTAGATGCCGGCTTGGTTTCCGTAAGTCGTTTTGTTTGAGAAAGTGCCACGATACTTACCCACTAGGCCGGGCCTCCATGATGCTTTAATTTATTTGTAGTAAAGCTCTGACCATGTTTCCATGGTTGTAAAGCTTGCCCCCTTCTTTCACCATCTCAATTCTCAAGTTGTTTACTTTTATTTGGGCTTTTTTTTCTCTTCCAATGGTGCGCTTTCTTTTTCGCCGCTGTCTTGTTCTGTCCCCAGCATAATTGTACTCTGCAGATGATTTCCACAGTACTTGTTTCTCTTGAAGTCTCATTCTTACACTGCTGTGTTGAGCTATACTTCTTGATGTGATTTCACTAGACCATGTGCTGGCGCACACAAACACACGGATATGAAGTATTGATTGGCCTCGCAACATTTTTGTTACATAAACCCACCAGATGTTCTTTTCCGTTCTCATGAATGAGCCTTTCTTTGTCCATGAAAAGCTTCTCTGCTTTCAGCTTATCTCTTTCTTTTGCTTTATCTCTCATGTGGATGATGTTAGGCCACAGTCAGTACCCTTTCAATAATAACTACCTTCGTTTTCTCTTGGATTGAAATTTCGATCATTGATGCAAGTTAGCTTTTGGTCAGTATTAAAAACGTTGATCACTCTTTTACCACAAAGGTAACATATCTCCTGTATGTATACCAAGAACTATAATTGATATCATAAACTGAACTGTTATGACTTGTGAGTTGGTAAGATTGGAAAATGAAAAACATGATTAGGAGCCTGGGTTGGTTTCCAGTCGTAGAGGTGAGGATGTGCAGTAGTGATGATAGTCATATTCATCACTTTATTTGAAAGAGCTGATGGGTTATGTGATTTATTCTGTGGGGAGGACAGCTAGGAATGTCAAGTGCACTGGAAACTTTGTGTGGGCAAGCATTTGGAGCCGGGCAATATCGAATAGTTGGAACTCAAACTTACACTGCCATCTTCTGCTTACTACTGGTCTGCGTTCCCCTGTCCATCCTGTGGGTCTACATGGAGAAGATACTGCTTCTCGTAGGGCAAGATCCCGCCATATCGCACGATGCTGGGAAATTCCAGATGTGGCTCATACCTTGTCTCTTCTCTTACGCAATGTCTCAGCCCATCGTTCGGTACCTCCAAGCACAAAGCTTGATCGTCCCCATGCTTATAACTGCTGTGGTTACCCTTTGTTTCCATGTTCCTGTCTGCTGGGCTCTAGTGTTCAGGACTAGGCTGCAGTACTTGGGAGCAGCATTGGCAATGTGTTTGTCGAATTGGCTGAGCTTTGCTACGCTTGCACTCTATTTCAAGTTCTCCCCTTCCTGTGCCAAAACTAGGGTCCCCATTTCGATGGACTTGTTCCATGGCATTGGCGAGTTCTTTCGCTTTGCCATCCCTTCAGCAGTAATGATCTGGTAAATTTTTCTTATCACATTTCCTTTTGTTTCCATTAGAAATATCCAATTTTTTGTTTTAGAAAAAGCATAATCGTTCTATCTCTCCTGTTGTATTATTGTAGCCTGGAGTGGTGGTCGTTTGAGCTTCTGGTTCTGCTTTCGGGCCTCCTGCCAAATCCTGCACTTGAAACTTCGGTCCTATCAGTCTGGTATGCCCTGAAAATATCAAATGAACTGAACCTGGAACCGATAACTCATAATTTCCAAGCTTTATGGACATTGATACCTCGTATTTACTGTTGTTTTTCCTTTGCAGTCTCACAACAATTGCAACCTTTTACTCAATACCATATGGACTTGGTGCTGCAGCAAGGTAAGCTTAAAAAACTCCTGGAATATATGGATGCATCATTTTAATCTCTAAACTGACGTGTTTCCAATACAATTAATCTTGTGCAGCACTAGAGTCTCAAATGAGCTAGGCAGGGGCAAACCAGAGCTGGCACGTATAGCAGTACGTTCAGTGATGTCTGTAGCAGTGGCCGAGGCGCTTCTAGTGAGCATTACCCTCTTTGCATGCCGTCATGTCTTTGGTTACAGCTTCAGCAATGAAAAGGAAGTGATAGACTATGTCACAAGGATGGCTCCCCTGATTTGCTTGTCAGTTATAATGGACAGTTTGCAAGGGGTTCTCTCAGGTATGAGTAACAATCCATCTCGTTTTGTTACGTCTCTATTGCTAGATGAAGTATTCGTCCTCTCACATGCATTCATTTTTTGTTTGTCAGGAATTGCAAGAGGTTGTGGATGGCAGCACATAGGAGCTTACATCAACCTCGGCGCATTCTATCTCTGCGGCATTCCTGTTGGCGTTCTATTGGGTTTCAGGACAAACATGAGAGGGATGGGACTTTGGATTGGAGTTCAAGTTGGTGCATTTACACAAACGCTTCTGCTCTTCATCGTTACAATATGCACCAACTGGGAAAAACAGGTATGCTGCAATTTCGATTCTCTTTTTTAACAGTTTGACATGATGCTCTAAAAGAAAACTTTGGATCAATTCCAATTTCCCTTACATATATATATATATGCTCCATGACAGGCAAGTGATGCTAGGCAGAGGATATTTGAAGGGGGATCGACGATTACGCACACATTGATTTGAAGAGATGAACTGGAGGTGAAGGTGATGATCCTTTGGACTCTCATTCCCAACACTAGAAATCTGGAGATTCTCCACTGTGAATCTGGAGTTTGCATTATGTGTCCAAGGACAAGTGATACTGATCAGGGCAACTGGTTTTTTTATCTTACAAAGCCTCTTTCTCCTGGAAACTGGATGGTTGCAGAGACGGAAGAAGTGAAGAGGGAGCAAAGGTTGGCTAGTTTCTACTGGCAACTAGCCATGGCAGGATGTTCATCCGTTGATGAGTTGTTTTGAGTAAAATTTTGAAGCGAGTGTGTTGTTAATTTTTTCGTCTTTAAGTAGATCCCATCTTATTTTCTCATAATGGAAGGGACTTGTTTCTGTATATCCTTTTTTTGGTTTCAAGAACTTTCGGGTAGAATATATATGGTCATCGATCCTGGTTTGTCCTCCAATTTATGTTTTTTTTTTTTTTTTTGCATTATTCTTGTTGTACTTGCACTCACTCTTGTATATAATTAGGATTCCTTAGTAATTCAAAGGAAGCTTATATCAAACAAATATTTTATATCCGTAATACCCGACAAACTTATGATCCAACGATATTGTGTGATTATTGGAATCTAAATTAAAGTATTGGATTCTATTCTTGTGGATTTCCTAATTCTCACTCTTCCTCTAATTGTCGATGATACTTTGAATATTATCAGCAAACTTATGATCCAACAATACCGTGTGATCATTGCAATCCAAATTAAAGTACTCGATGCTATTCTTGTGGATTTTTCAATCCTAACTCTTTTTTTAATTGTCGGTGATACCTTTAACATTATCAGCAAACTTATGATTCAACGATATCATGTAATCTCTGCGGACTTCCTAATTCTCACTCTCCCATTCCATAAAGAGCATAAAAGAAAAATCATCAACATTGACCCTAAATATGATGGTCATTTATCATCTACTTTGCATGCTTCAAATCACTAGACTTGTGGCCCATTTTTTGGGTGATTTGTCAGCTAATTTGCGTGCTTCCAACTACAAGACTTGTGGCCGATTTTTGGGTGGAGGGTTCATAGGTTACGCTTATGTAAATAATCATCCCAGGATTTTGAGTTAAGTGGGATATGATGGTTGAGGCTAAAAATTATTTTTAATTTCTATGTTTCTTAATGGGTTTGTATTTTTTTTATTTTTTAATTAAAAATTTCCACATAAGAAACGAGTTCATTGTGATATACAAAATACTATTTATTTTGTATATAGTTTGTGCCAAAACTTTCCAGATCAATTAGAGGACTATCTAGATCCATTTGCCATAGTTACCTCCATCTTAACACTATTGTAAATTCCTGTCACAACCTACCACTATGGTGTACACTTTTATGCCACCATGATATATATTGGTTAAATGTTTGCAAAGATAGTACAAATGATATCCAAAGTGTTATTATGATGCTAATAACACTAATATAAATAATAAAGGAGTAATTAATAGGGAGAAACCCTACATTGGAAAAATACATCCAATTTATATTCATTTTTATCTTTTGAATATGTTTAATTTTCAATTTATGATTTTCAATTTTTGGTAGCCATAATCATATTCAAGCTAAGTAATGCATAGCAAAAAGTAAGGAATGCATACCATAAATAAACACTAGAAGGCGTACCATAAAACACAACAATGTATGTCAGAAACACAAGAATGCATACAAAAAGTACTATAATGTATATACAAGAAATCTCCAATAGCATACACAAAATATTAAAATGCGTACCGGAAAGACAACAATGCATGTCAGAAACACTAGAATGCATATACAAGAAATCTCCAAAAACGCACGCAAGAAACTAAAGAATACAGGTATGAATTTTTAAACCATTAGTTAGAACGAAAGGATATTAGTCATGCAATCATGTGCTAATTAAAAATGCGTTAACTAACATTTTTTTCTTTTGTTTCTAGAAAATGTTAGTATAACTTCTAAACTACTTATGCCACTGTCTACCACCATCCTATTACTATAGTAAACTTTTAGCACTTCTACCATCGTGACATAATCTTCTGCGCGACCATGACATTTCATGGTATACTGTGGTATTAAAAATGTAATGACTAACATATTTTTACCCTAATCTATATCAAATTGTATAATATTATGTAGAGTATAACTATTATAATTCCTTAAAAAATATAAAATCCGAATTAAAACTTATTTCTGTCCCTTTCCGAATATTTGGATTTTGTTTGAATTAAACTAAAAATAAAAAAATGAATAACAACCTATAAATATACTATACGTATTGTTGTTTTCAACTTAACAAAAGGATATTAGTTATGTGTATTGCAATTGTATAGGATCTCAAATTACTGTCCAGGAAACGTGACCGACTCATCCGAGGAAAACCGGAGTGTGTTAACATTATTAATACACTTCCCTCCCCACTTTCCTCACCTAATCACTCCATCACAAAAAAAAAAAAAAGCTAATTAACCAAAGATTAGAGAGCTAATACAATTCTTCCACCATGGTGACGACGACGACGTCGTTGGAGAAAGATGATGATCGGAATTGCCGATGCAGCACCATAACGATAGAGCAGAGCTTACTGCTTACGCCCACAAAAGCATCCGCAGCCGACGATGATAATGACGACGCCGCCGACGGATGGGTCTCCGGCGGCGGCGGCGGGACGGCGGCGATGACGTCGAGGGTGTTGTTGGACGAGCTGAAACGAGTAGGTTACCTAGCCGGTCCGATGGTGGCCGTGAATATGTCGCAGTATTTGATTCAGTTCATATCTCTGATGATGGTGGGACATCTGAGCGAGCTCGAACTCTCCGCCACCGCCATGGCCGTCTCTCTCTTCACCGCTACCGGTGGCAGCGTTCTGGTACGATTTCCTATATATATATATAACTCTTCTTTAATCAAATTCTGTCTCTCCTGTTGGTTGGTAATACATATCACATATCGTGTTAGTGAATACTGGAGGAGCGGTAACCTTGGCTCTAGAGGTTTATTAATCCGATCGTGATATAGTTGGACTAGCTAGGTTAGTTTAGGGCGAGTCATCTTTTGATGTCGTAAGGATTGAGTATGGTCGGGTTAACTTAGGGTCCGGCCGTCACCTTTTTGGTTCTATGAACCATAACAGCAAGTGATATGAAATTTCTCATACCAACACTTTAAAGCTGTTTGTTAGGGTTTTAAAAGTTTAGATATCATAATGTAAGGTAGGCAACAAATATAAAAAATACTACATTTCACCAAAATTCTTAGATCTAATCGTAAAAAATAAAAGTTCTGGTACTCAATGTAAGAAAAATAAATTTGAGTTCCAAAATGTAGTTTTCAAAAAAAATCTGTTGTGTTGATTAATTTGGGCCCACTCACTGGCTCAGCCCGATCTGATTGTAGAGGGTAAGACAATATAAAAAAAAAACGAAATAAGAGCGGGACGGATCAGTTTTATAGATCGACTCTACAGAAAAGGGTTTGACATAGTTCTTACAAGATTAAAAGTGAGTGAGACCCAATTTTAACTCTACCTCGTTTGCTTGTTGGATTTGAAAATTAGGGTTTTGAGTTTTAAGAAACTTTGAATTTACGATGGATTTTTTGCATTATGGATTTAGGAAAATACATTGTTTGTTTAGTTGACTTTTATCATGGATATATGATGGATTTGTCTCGCATTTTTGCCTTCTACTATCAAATCTCAAATGAAATGTGGGATTTCCTAATCTGTGTGTGGTCCACGAATTTGGATCTAAAAAAAGTAATCCAAATATGTGCGCCCACGAATTTGTGTCCCTCAGCAAACAATGTATTTGTGCAAATTTCATAAAGCTTGAGAATTGGGGTCAATTAATCTCCCAAATTCCACAAGCAAACGATATCTGTGTTATAATTATTATTCGCTCGCATGCATGCAGATAGGAATGTCAAGCGCGCTGGAAACGCTCTGCGGCCAAGCCTACGGCGCCGGACAGTACCGGAAGCTCGGAACCCAAACCTACACGGCCGTCTTCTGCCTCCTCTTAGCCTGCATCCCCTTAACCCTCCTCTGGCTCAACATGGAGTCCATCCTCATCTTCGTGGGCCAGGACCCAACCATCTCCCACGAGGTCGGCAAGCTCCAGATCTGGCTCGTCCCGTCTCTCTTCGCCTACGCGCTGGCCCAGCCCATTCTCCGCTACCTCCAGGCCCAGAGCCTGGTCGCGCCCATGCTCACGACAGCTGGCGTCACGGTCTGCTTCCACGTGCCGCTCTGCTGGGGGCTGGTGTTTAAAAGCGGGCTGAGGAACGTCGGGGCGGCGCTGGCCATGTGTTTGTCGAACTGGCTGAGCTTTGTGATCCTTGCCTTGTACGTCAAGTGTTCTCCCTCGTGTGCCAAGACTAGGGTTCCGGTGTCGATGGAGCTGTTTCGGGATATCGGTGTGTTCTTTCGATATGCCGTCCCTTCCACAGTCATGATCTGGTAAACTTTGTTAAGCCAACTTAACATATTTGTCTCAGGTGTATATTATTATTAACTATACATACGTTCCTGGATAATTAATCTTTGCATATTTGTCTCTTTTTTTTGGCTGTTGTTGTAGCTTGGAATGGTGGTCGTTTGAGCTTGTGGTGCTGCTTTCTGGTCTCTTGCCAAACCCTGAGCTTGAGACCTCAGTCCTCTCAGTATGGTAAGCCTTCTTTCCTTCGTTTTTTTCTGAATTTTCCCCCTTGATATAAGGCTTAATAACAAAAATTATCAAAATACAACACTTCGCAAATATTAATTTTCTAAAATACTAGAGTTTGGAGTAGTTTGCTTCAGTGTCAAGCGAACTAGGTGGTGATTAGCTTGACATTGGAGATCTTACATGAATTGTCTTAAGTTTGGACGAGTTGTTGTGTAACGAGTTAATATAAAAGTGGAATTCCTCACAAAATGAGAATGTGGTATTTGTGAGTTATTTCACAATAACTACCCCTATGAGGTATTGACAATAACTCATTAATGAGTTATTTCAAATTAACTCAAGTACAAATAACTCACCATCAACTTTTACAGACAAACGAGTTATTTGCACCCAAATAACTCAAAATGAGTTATTTGGATGCAAATAACTCATACGAATAACTCATCCAAACGACCCCTAATTGCGCCCGACCTAATCGAACCAGCCTTGGAACAACAAGGATCACAACTAACCCAAAGCGAACCACTCTCGGTTCAACATGGACCGCAACACAATCAAGCAAACTACTACAGATCGCTGATGAACCCCACGATCTACACCTGATTGCTAGGTTGAAATTTCCAACGCGCGTAACTTTGCACCTGGTTATCCGATTATAGCGAAATTCTTTACCGCAAACTTTTCGAGATCTTCGAAACCACAAAGTTATGTTTGTTGAAAGTTTCGATCTAGGTCAGGTGTAGGTCGCTAAAGTGTCCAGTGATTTTTGGGGGGCTAGATCGCAGTATTTGTGAGCGATCAGTGTGGTTTGCTTCTCCCTCCAACGATCCCACACTGGTTCACTCGTATCAGCCACGATCCACAGAGATTCAACGCTGATTCGCTTGGTTTTGTAGAACGCTTTGACACCGGAGCGAACTGCTCCAAACTCTTGTATTTTGGGAATTTTTTTTTGCAAAAGAGTTGTATTGTGTAATTTTTTCTGGTGACCAGGGAAAATTCCGAATTTTTTTGCAGCTTAATTTCCGTTGATCTAATGTCCTTTCGTCATCTTGCAGTCTAAACACCATTGCAACTCTATACTCAATACCATTTGGACTAGGTGCTGCGGCCAGGTATACATACATAGCTTCAAACTCATCTCTCTCTCGTCCACAAATGTTAAGTTATTGAGACTGACTGGTTGTCGAGATACTAATACGTGGTACGTTATATGTTGCAGCACTAGAGTGTCAAACGAGCTAGGACGTGGCAACCCAGAAGCAGCCCGAGTCTCGGTACGCACCGTCATGTCCGTGGCAGCGGCCGAGGCGCTCCTCGTAAGCAGCAGCCTCTTCATGTCCCGCCGCGTCTTCGGCTACAGCTTCAGCGACGAGAAGGAAGTGGTGGACTACGTGACCAAGATGGCGCCATTGCTGTGCCTGTCGGTCATAATGGACAGCCTTCAGGGTGTTCTTTCGGGTGTAGCCAGAGGTTGTGGATGGCAGCATATTGGTGCTTACATCAACCTCGGAGCGTTTTATCTTTGCGGGTTTCCGGTGGGAATCGTGTTAGGGTTTTGGACGAATCTGAGAGGGATGGGGCTGTGGATTGGCGTGCTGGTTGGCGCGGTTGCGCAGACGGTGTTGTTGTTTGTTGTGACGATGTGTACCAACTGGGAGAAACAGGCGAGCAATGCTAGGAAGATGATTGTTGAAGGATAGTGCGTTTGCAGTGAAAACGCTAGCTAGGGTGTTTTTTTTACTTTTGCTGTGAACTAGTATATTAGGGTATTTTTAGAATGTAACTTAGACTTTTGTATTTATATATTGTTGAGGAATATATATGACAAGAAAAGGGGAAACCATGAATATCAAGAAATAGATTCCCACAACGTGCCTTTTTGTAGAGGAATCAGAGGTGACACTGTTAGTAAACGGTATATGATTCACGATTGAACCTCTCCCAACAACTCGAGTTATTGGGATCAACTGGTTCTTGACATGGTATCAGAGCCTTCTGTGATTGTGAGGTCTTCTGTTCGATTCCCGGTGACCCCCATCTGTTTCTGTTAAGCACACGGTGTCCAGACCTGTGTCTGTCCAAACTTCAAGCCTATCTGAATGGCTTGAGTTTGAAGGAGGGTGTTAGTAAACGGTATATGATCACTGGTCGACATACGTAGGGTGTTAGTAAAACCCTAGCAGATACTGATAGAGTGATAGTGACAAAGGTTATATTAACCATGTACTTGGCTTACAACCACCTAAGTAACACAAGCAATAATAAGAGAGGTTCAGACTCTTTCGTGGATTAGTCCCTACGTACTTGTCGAGGTACTAGGTTAACCCTTGTGTCCTTTTAGTGTTTTCTCGCTTGTGATTGTTCAATTTCTCATGGTATTAGAGCACTAAGGCCCATCGATCAACCGTAAAGATGAGTGGCCAAGAATCTGCTAGGACCGTGCACAATGTGCAGCAATAGAAACAGAGTGGCAGCGACAATGATAGGAACAGAGAGAAGGTCGCTTCATTTTCTTTCTCATTCTAAAATAGGTTTTCCCCAATTCAAGAACAAGAAGCTGGAACAGGGAGAAGGTTGCTTCTTAGCAAGTATTTTAATCTACTCCGACCAACAACACATGAAGAAGAAGAAGAACAAGACGGAAGTCGAAATGGGAACTGGAATTGGAATCGTCAAGAACAGAGGTTTTCGTCAAAAATGAAGTAGAGAGTAGAAACTAAAATTAGATAAGATTATTTTTGTTTATTCTTTGTTTTACTTTGTCAAAATAATGATTATATAAATTAATAAATATCCATGTAACCAATGTAGTTAAAAACGAGTTTCTACGTAGAAACGTTTTGGCGATTTAGAAGCGTAAAATCGTAAGTTTTTAAGTTTTAAAGCGAGTTTTTAACTACATAAGTTATAAAAATGGAGATTTTGTGTAGAATCATTTTAGTGACCTAGAAATGTAAAATCGTAAGTTTTTAAGTTTTAAAGCGCGATTTTGACTACATTGCATATGACATAATCAAATGGTTGACTTCTTGCCACGCCACCAATTGACATCCAACTCAACAAAAAATCTGTCACGTCAGAGTAAACTAACAGTTGACCGGACAAAAAGTTGATGGTTTTTTGTTTTCTATTAAATTGTTTTCAAAAATATATTGCTATTATTTTTTTTTAAATGAAAGGTTTGACTATTATATTGTATTTACCCTTGAAAATATATAAGACATATTTTCTTACATGTTTGACATGTTAAACTTAATATTGGGTGAGATATATAATTTAACAATCCTATGAATGATCAAAGTCCAACTCCTAAGACATAGATCGATTTGCTCATAACTCGATGATCAAGTTGGCTCTCTAGCCACAATGTTGAGACATCTCATTATCTGTAAATGAGTCAGCTCACGAGTTGACCTCAACAAGTCATCGAGTCGAGCAACCTCGCGAACTTCACGAGCTTAACATAAAATTTAGCTCAAGCTCTGCTTGTTAGTGAACGAATTGAATTTCAAACTAGTTTTTCCCGAACCGAATTTCGAGTCGCTCACAAGCAGCTCGACTTATTTGCAGTGCTAATTGGACGAGCTATTTTCTTGTTTATTGCTTTGATGGCAGGTTGTCAACCCGCGGGTTGACCCGGACCCGGTCGAGCTAGTGGGTCAAGGGTTAATGGCTCAACCATTTTAGCCCGGTTTGGCCCGGAAATATAGAAAGAATTATATTGTACTTATCCTCATAAATTATATCAAATCTTATCTAACATATGAGTTATAACATATAATATTACACCAAAATAACATATCGTACTTAGATCCAACATATAGTGAAAATTCACACACACTTCTTTAACATAAATATTCAAATGTTCAACTTAATATTCCAAAGATTGAGTTAGGCGAATTTTTTTTTGGAAAATAGGCACATTTCGCAAACTAAAGAAAAAAATGACACAATTTGACCTCCAACCCGATACCTTATAGCGGTCGGCCCGGCGGATGCGTACGATCCGTTTTTCTCATCGAGTCAGGGTCAAATTGGGTCGACCCGTGGGTTAACCCGCGGGTTGACAACCTTGTTTGATGCATTATGGTTGGCGCAAGTTATGGACTCCCTTTGGTCAGCGGGGGTCTTTTTGTTTGTCGCTGGTGTATCCATTTCTTCACCCCGACAATGGTTGTTTTGGGATTTTCACTCTTGCTTTGTTTCCAATATTTTTTATTTTTTATAGTAGCTCTGTTTCCAATTTCAAATGTGTATTTAACTCTCTTGTATTGTCTTTTTGCAATGCAATCTAAGCTGCTTCTTGGAAAAACAAATATAAAAAACATTGGTCTCTTTCGCCATCCAATGCATGACTGTTCGTTGAGAGTGCATGGGCTGGCCCAACCAATTAAGGCTTCGTTGACCCATCTTGTCTTGGGCTTTACAATGGGAGCTTTTAAGAGGTGAGGTTGATGGACGGTTGAACCACCGAGGCCAGCCACGTGATGCGATCCCACATGTACGCGGCGCCGGCCGGCCGGTATCCCGCGAAATCTGTTTCCCACGTGCATTGCCCTCTTTCTCAGTTTCTCTGCATTTCCGGCAAGTTTTCCTTTATTAGTATTTTGCCTTCTTCAAGAGTCATGAATCTTCCTTCTATCAGTTTCTACCCAAAAAAAAGTCATGAATCTTTCTTTCTAGTTTCTACCCAAAACAGGTCATGAATCTAAAGGCACATAAAGAAAGTCGCATCGTGGGTTTCATGCACAGTTAAGAATTGACCAATACGTTGCCTCGTGGGCATCATGTACAGTTAACAACGTATATATATCTAGTTTACCAAAGAACAACATTATCCAGTCAACCAAGCAAACTTTTGTGGGTGACGCGTTAGGAAATCTCTACCCCTGTTCATAAATGTAGACATAATCTGGAGAGGCATGATTATCGAGCAAGTCTCAACGCAGTTGACTTTATAATATAGACGGAAATGTGACAACGAATGAGAGAGAGAGAAAAAATCCTAGAGATATCGACTTTATTATGCGCACAACGACGACAAGAAATACAATCAGTTACTTTTCTGTTACAAAGATAGTAATATTGTGCTTGTGTACGATACAATGTTTTGCTTAACACACTGATTATCATACACCAGAAGCTATAACATGAAAATGACGAACGAGGACTTGATTTAATGGTAGAATCTTTTTTTGTTATTATTCTGATTTGGAGATTACAAATCCAGGTCTCGAGATGAACTCGATTAACATGAATGATTTATTTCGGAATCTCGATTTTTTTTAATCAACAATGATAATTCTTCAAATCTCAAACAATCTGTAATCCATCTTAACGTCCCTACGAAAATATCCGATAATTCTTAGTGGCTTTCCATAGATGGAGCTACCTTAATTAATGGCAGGGGAGGCTACAGCCTCACCCGCAACTCTCAAAATCGTGTAAGATTACATGTAAATTTTGTAATAAATTGACAACATATAGTAGTTGATATGGCGTTAACCTCCCCCTTATCAGTTCGAATTCTATGTGCGTAAAATTTTAGCTCCCACTCATTCGAGTTTGTGGCTCCGTCACTACTGACTGTTAACAAAGTTTCTGCTTTTCCCCTACTCAAAGGTTGAAGTCAGAGAGTCAAAGGTTAGACATAGGTCAACAACGTAGGGAGTTGGAAGATTCTTGTTCTTCTTTTCTCTTTGTCTTCTACTTTGGGAAATAATAATGGGGACAAAAAGGGAAGGGAGGTTCCTGTCCTGATGGTTAGCAGCACATTACCATTAGTTACAAAAATGATAATCCGTGGGAGTAATCAATCAGCAGGTTTATTAGACTATCTCCATTCTCCGCACCTGATCGCGTAGCTAGTAGCTACTAATCCATTGTTTTTAAGTTTTAAGCCTTTTTTTTGTTAAGAGAAGATTTATGTTTCTTACCCACTTCTTATATGTTTTTTTTTTTAAATAAATCCTTTTACCAGTTTGCTTTGCTAAAATGGTTAAGTTCCTATGTTTGATCCGATTTTTAGAAGTGTTTTTCTGTTTCAAAAGCTGAAACAGAGTCAAATACCTCTACAAGTTTGGTTTTTGAAAAGTTGAAAAATATTTTGTATAACATAAAGTATAAACTTTGATTTTGAGCTTCTTCGATTTTTTTTTTAAAATAAGAATATTTTACCATATTTTAATTTTATTTAAGAAAATATAAATTTTCCCCAATTATATCGTACTAAAAATAAATTAAAATTATTTAATATACAAGAATCTAACAAGATCCATTTTGAATATTTTTTATTTTTTGTAAAATTTTTATTCATATTCTACATTATGAATTCATTTTTAGTCATTTCACATGCTCTCTTAATCTAAAAAATTTCTTCTAATGTCAACGTTAATTAGAGTTTCTTTGTCACGTTGAATGTAATGCTGAGAGAAAATGAGAAAGATATGAGGTATAAGATAAAATTATAATTTTGAGAGATGAACGAACAAAAATGTTTAAATAAGTGCAGAACCTAGTTATAACTTATAACACATATCCGAGTGGGTACGGTACGGATGCTTAAAATACTAAAACCGCACCAAATTCGTTAACCTCCTTGATAAGATCTGGGAAAACCCACGCACAAATCATGATATCGATCGGAATTTTTCCCCGACGGAATTGATTCAAATTCGGTTGGATATCAACAAATGATTGGATTCTTTTTCCCCATCATGAGAAGTGTGTTGAATGAAAGCTAATAATCGGCGAACGCCGAGGTATCAAATTGGAAAGTGGCCATAGTTTTGCCCTCTCTACTGAGCAAACCAAATTCAAGTTGGTTTAATCGATCTTTATTCTTTCTTGTCATCCAACTTGAATGAGTTGTTGGGTACTGAAATATATATTAAGCAAATCCAGCGCCTCTAGAATTTATATTACCACCGCCTAGCTAACAACTGCAGTCTACTGAAATCTTATTAATCGGATTTAAATCCCCCCCATTGTTTTTTGCGTTCATATCATTGCTATTAATTTAATATAATTTTTCGGTCGACGGAAGCGAGATCCGACTGGCAACCATAAAAATTGCTATAAACAAAAGATGGTGCTTCCCAGAAATTATAATATATAAATAACCTCCCCGTTCATTGCATTTTAACGCCATCTCTCTCTATCTCTCTCACACATTAACACACAGGACCAATATACAATGAGCAGCGTGGTGGTTTGGTCGCCGGCGGAGGCTGAGAACAACGGCATGGAGCAGAGCTTGTTGCTTCTGCCGCAAAAATCAGTAGGAGGTGATGAAGACGGCGGAGGGGTGATGACGTGGAGGTCGGTGGTGGAGGAGCTGAAGCGGGTCGGGTACTTGGCCGGGCCGATGATAACGGTGAGCCTGTCGCAGTTTATGGTGCAGTTCATATCGCTGATGATGGTGGGACACCTCGGGGAGCTGGAGCTCTCCGCCACCGCCATTGCCATCTCGCTCTTCACCGTCACCGGTTCCAGCGTCCTCGTAAGTCCAACGATCTTCTAGTTTTTTTTTTTTTACCAATAGATCACTTGTATTAGTAAGGCAAAAAAATGCAAAAAGTTAGCAAAATTTACAACCCAAGAACAAACCAACGACTAAAATCAAAAGTATCTACAACCGTAGGCAACAAAGAAAGGGTCTTCCTAGCCACCTAATGGGCCACTCTATTGTTACTCCGCTCGGTGGAAAATTAATTTGTTACGTTTTCTTTCCTAGCCTCTGACCGTATATACACATACTAGGTAGATTGGAACGACTTTGACCCTCTTTTTTAACTGTCGGGAATAGGGAATCTAGTTCAGTAGAGTAATTAAATAATGGCTTCGAGGAGAAAATACTATGCAAATTTCACTGTATTTGAGTCTTTTTAGTGTAATTGGTATGGTTATTTTCTGCGGTACAGTATTTAAAAAACAAGTTAAATCAAAATAATTTTCATGTAAATTCACGTAATTTTCTTTGTTAATTTTATTGCATCGGAATACGTACTAGTTATAGAGTGGAACAAACTTAACCCTCTTTCTTACGGGCGAAAATAGGGAATCTAATTCAGTTGGTGTAAGAAGGAATAATTCAAGGAGAAAAATACTATGCAAACTCCACGGTTATTTGAAGTCTGAACCACTTCTACGGTAAAACTTTCAAAATATAAGTTAAAATCTAAATAATTCTCATCACAGATATAAATCTAAATAATTTTCACACAAATACATTCAATTTTTTGTTAAATGTACTGCAACAGATAATAATTACTCCTTTTAAGCATGAATCCGATCCTCAAAGTAACGATTACAATTTACAAGACAATTAATAAATGATATCTCTTGATTACTTATGAGTAATTATGAAAAAACTTTTGCATAATGTCTCGTGATTACCTTTATGCTCAAATGGTGAAGCGACTAAAACACTCGAGGTTGCTGGCTGGATCAACCCCTTTCCTTTCAGTGCTAGTAGAAGAAGCAAACTTTGTTAACAAATTTCTCCGCCCATTTTTTGTTTTTGTTTGTTTGACTAGTTATTACTATAAAATTCTACATCTTAAATTAATTAATTATGATAATGGAGTGGGAATGGGATATAATTGAATTCTAGGAGCTAGCTAGGGCCACATTATGAGGAGCATGGCTGTTGTATGTATGGATCGAATGTAGGACTGACATTTTTCAGCCAATACCCAATCCTCCAATTAATGGCCAAAAAAATCATTTACAAATCTCTACAGTTGAATATGCAGCCTACCTGCTAAAGATTTGGTCTACACTATATATCGAATTCAATTACACGACGAGTACGTTTGGAACGAATTGATTACTTCAATTATAGTTCCCCTCGCGAATTCGATGTCATTCCATCGCGCGGTTTCTTTCTGTGCTGCATTACATCGTTTCGTAAACGAGTTGGATTTCGACAACTTAAATCGATTCGTTTACGCGGCTAACCATAATGCAGATAGGGATGTCAAGCGCACTGGAAACACTCTGCGGCCAAGCCTACGGAGCAGGACAGTACCGCAAGCTCGGGACCCAAACCTACACCGCCGTCTTCTGCCTCCTCCTCGCCTGTTTTCCCATAACCGTCCTCTGGCTCAACATCGAGAAATTGCTCGTTCTCGTCGGCCAGGATCCCACCATTTCTCACCAAGTCGGCAGGCTCCAAATCTGGCTCATCCCCTGCCTCTTCGCCTACGCATTGATCCAGCCGATCGTTCGATACCTCCAGACGCAGAGCCTCACCGTCCCAATGCTCGTCTCCTCCACCGTCACGCTCTGCTGCCACGTCCCGCTCTGCTACGCTCTCGTGTTCAGGACCGGACTGGGAATCGTCGGGGCGCCGCTCGCGATCAGCCTGTCCAACTGGCTGAATTTGCTGTTGCTTGCGCTCTACGTCAAGTACTCCCCTGCCTGTGCCAAGACCAGAGTCCCCGTTTCGATGGAGCTGTTCCGCGACATGGGCGTCTTCTTTCGTTACGCCGTCCCTTCTGCAGTCATGATATGGTAAAATTGTTACAACTATAGCCAATTTAATTATGGAATTTGTGACTGTGTAGTTTATGTTGATTCATTGTCGTTGGTTGCAGCTTGGAATGGTGGTCGTTTGAGCTTGTGGTGGTGCTTTCGGGCCTCTTGCCGAATCCTCAGCTCGAAACATCAGTCCTCTCAGTATGGTATGCCTTGATTCCCAAGTAACTGGTAGTTTTTTTTTTCTTGTAGCTTAATGCACAAGAAATCCATTCTTACCTGATGTTCTTGTTGTTTCATTTCTGTAGTCTCAACACCATCGCGACTCTATACTCGATACCATTTGGACTCGGTGCTGCAGCCAGGTACGAACACCAAACCCCTTAATCGAAAAGCTAACCCCCAAATTGGGAGGACGAAAAACCCAACAATCTTAACGGTTTGTCGAGGTTTTGGGAAATGCCTTGCCTGACAAGTTACAAACTCTGTGTGTTGCAGCACCAGAGTGTCGAACGAGCTAGGAAGGGGAAGACCAGACGCAGCGCGACTAGCAGTTCGTACCGTGATGTCTGTTGCAGCAGTTGGGGCACTGCTGCTGAGCAGTGTCCTGTTCATGTGTCGTCACATCTTTGGATACAGCTTCAGCAATGAGAAGGAAGTGGTGGATTATGTGACTAAGATGGCGCCATTGATATGCTTGTCGGTTATAATGGACAGTCTGCAAGGGGTTCTTTCGGGGATAGCCAGAGGATGTGGATGGCAGCATATAGGAGCTTACATTAACCTCGGAGCGTTCTATCTATGTGGCTTCCCCGTTGGAATCGTGTTAGGGTTTTGGACCGATCTTAGAGGAATGGGGCTGTGGATTGGAGTGCTGGTCGGTTCATTCACACAGACAGTGCTGCTGTTTATTGTTACAGTGACCATCAACTGGGAGAAACAGGCAAGTAATGCTAAGGAGAGGATACTTGAAGGAGAATCAACTGTTACGACTCCATTGCTGGTTTGAGTGAAAACCCGGTTTAATGATCTAGTCGAAAACGTTGAGATTTCTTCATTGGGTTGTTTGTTCTTTGTAGAGAGGAGTTTGTATTAACTAGTTTTTCCATTTCATTTCATAGCTCATACTGCGTGATATTGTTTTTTACTGACATGGGTAGTGTAAAGAGTGAATTTAAGGATATTTTGAAGAAGTACTTATAATTAATCCAAAGCTTTTGTTCCTTGTGCAAATACTTCTTTTCTTATACCCAACATGCCAATCCAGTTTTGTTTTAGTGCTCTCTGAAAAGGCAACTTTTTCCCTGACCAAGAAAAAAGCTGGAAGATGAAAGTGGTATACAACGCACTAAACCGCCACCAAGACTCAGATTTGATGCAAGTGATGGAGAAAACATTTGATTAATAGCTAATCACCTTGGCTCAAAACAGATCAGGATTGCTATGAACTAAGACACAACAGTAGTAACATCTCACTACAGAGAAGAAAAATGGAAGAAAGCTTACTTCCCCAAGAAAGGGAACCAGAAGGAAGAATTGGGTGTTCAGAAGGATTGTGGGATGTTTACATCCAGGAAGCTAAGAGATTATGCACCATAGCACTTCCCATGGCAGCCATCAACCTCTCGATGGGTGCGTTGAACATCATATCACTGATGATGGTTGGCCATCTAGGTGAGCTCTCCCTCTCCAGCTCTGCCATCGCCATCTCTCTCTCCAACGTCACCTGCTTCAGCCTTCTTGTTGGGATGTCAAGTGGTCTCGAGACACTCAACGGACAAGCCTATGGAGCTCAGCAGTACAGGAAACTTGCAGTGCAAACATACACCGCCATCTTCTCGTTGATATCGGTCTGCATCTTTCTCTCCTTGGCTTGGTTCAACATGGAGAGTCTGTTGGTGCTGATCGGTCAGGATCCTGTCATTGCTCATGAAGCCGGGGCCTTCACTAGGTGGCTCGTGCCTGCGTTTTTCGCTGCTGCGGTGTACCAGCCACTGGTTAAGTACTACTTAGCACAGAGCTTGATTACTCCCATGTTGTTGTGCTCTTGTGTCACCATCTTTCTCCACGTTCCTTTGTGTTGGGTTTTGATCTTCAAGACTGGATTGAACAACTTTGGTGGAGCATTGTCAGTAGGGATATCCTACTGGTTGAATGTTGTTTTCCTAGTTCTTTACATGGCATTCTCTCCTACTTGTGCCAAGACTCGTGCTCCGGTGTCGATGGAGTTGTTTCGAGGGGTCGGGGAGTTCTTTCGATTTGCGATTCCTTCTGCAATCATGATTTGGTAAAGTGTTACATGAAACCCTTAATTGTAATCTTATTCCCATTTTATGTTTTGATGGATAGGTTCTTAAATTTGGTTTATATTTTCCCCTGCCTGCAGCCTGCAATGGTGGTCATATGAGTTTGTCATCATGCTATCAGGGTTGTTGCCGAATCCACAGCTCGAGACTTCGGTCCTCTCGATTTGGTACATGTTCTTCTGAGATAATGCAAATCTTGAACATTTGGGTCTCACTTAAATTGCTAAAAGTTTCCTTCTTTGGTTTCCTAACAGTCTCACAACAATTGGGACACTCTTTGCAATACCATATGGACTAGGTGCTGCAGTCAGGTTTGCCACATTTCTTGCCATACACGCCATCTTTCATTAAGTCACTATTGATATTTTTGTTTCAATGATGGCAGCACTCGGGTTGCAAACGAGCTAGGAGCTGGGAACCCACAAGCTGCTCGTAGATCGGTCTACACGATCATGATCCTGGGAGTTGCAGAATTGGCTGTAGTTGGTGGAATCTTGTTTGCAGGAAGACAGATGTTTGGATACTTATTCAGCGGTGAGACAGAAGTTGTGGAGGATGTATCCAAAATGGCTCCCTTGGTTTGCCTCTCTATTGTGGTGGATGGCTTACAGGAGATCCTTTCAGGTTTCTTTTTTCAAATTTTCCTCCACCATTAAACTCTGTTCATCTTTCCATACCTTCTTCCTTGCCTTCTCAAAGTGACTGGTTTTGTCGATACGAAATAGGAGTTGCGAGGGGATGTGGGTGGCAGCACATTGGAGCATATGTGAATCTGGCTGCACTGTATCTCTGTGGGATTCCAGTTGCTGGTCTATTGGGGTTTGTGTTCCAGCTAAGGGGAAAGGGGCTGTGGATTGGGATTCTAATTGGTGCTACTTTGCAAACACTTCTTCTAGCTGTGGTCACATTTTGCACCAATTGGGAAAAACAGGTTTGCTTAGTTCAGTGCAGATATTAGTCTTGTTTCCTAGAGCGATGTATTTGGTTCTGCTGCTTGAGGAAATGAAAATAGTGGAATTAGCAAACACTTTAATTTGTTTCACCAGGTGACACTTACTGCCAGAACTGCAGAACACAATGTTTCACCTTTGAAACTTTATGATCAATAGACTTGTACGCTATCTAGAATGAACTTTTTCTCACCTTCTGCAGGTAAGTATGGCAAGAGAAAGGATATTCAAAGCGAAACCTTCAACATCAGATTGCTGAGGATCGAATGGATAAACGAGACGACGTTGCTACCAACTGCATTTTATGACTGGAACATGATGAGATCAAGAAGCAGGCTAAGATATGTTTCCAATATAAAAGTAAAGCTAATGTTAAAGCTCTTTTCTGCAGTTACTTTGATCTCTGTGAGATGTAACTCATTACTTCCATTTTCTAAGTCTAGAAATCAGATATTTTCCCAACTTTCAGATCTTCTGTGAGCAGCTTGATACTATTTGGCTTCTTGCTTGATGGCATTGAGCAGATGGGAAGGAAAAAGTCTACACTCTTGAGCCCAAAAACTGTGAAAAGCTGCTGAATGATTAGATGAGTAAAGCTGATTTTTCGACAAAATGTGTGGACAACTGAGGAAGGAACCAGTCGACTGACACATACAGAAGTGCAGATATTTGCAATCCAGTTTTATGAAATTATAACATCGTATCGAATCACATACGGATATATTATAATTTAGTGGTACAACCGAAAGGTAATGGTGGTTTAGGCTCGTTTAAGTGAACATTTGTTAAACCTAAATTACTTTCCGTTTCGGTATAAAAAAAATTGTACGTGGCTCCGACCTGATCAGTATTCGACCGGTCGGTTCAACCTGGTCCGATTACAATAAGTCATTTGAACTGTTGGAATACATTTTGGTTGGACTGTTCCGGAAACAAGTAAAATTGAATCAAACACGCCAAAACTGGGCTCGAAGATGATAATTGATAATTTGGTAACATATATTTCTTTTAAAGAAATTTGGTAATATATGAATGTGGATTAGTGAGATTAAAACCGAATTGGTTGAACCAAATCCAACCATTAAACCTCAACCGGTTATCAAAGCGACTTCATGGTTCAATCTGGTTTGACAGTACAGGATAGTCCCGTTTGACAAAGATTCTTATTTTTGCCGGAAATGGAGTCAAAACATAAACTCGCAGTTGTGCTTTCATTCCGTATTCTGTATTTCCTTCTATCTCTCTGTATCAAGTTTGGTCTCCCTCGCTCTTCCATCAATGGCGTCTCTGATAATGTCTCCATCGACTAAGCAGTACTTGGCATCCTCGTCTCTTTCCCAGCACAGTAATCACAGTCGATGCCGCTACAAAACAACTAGCCTCTCCTTTTCCTCTTCCTCTTCTTCTATTTCTTTGCCCCAGCCACAGCAAGGTAACAATTTCATCGATTTCGCATTTGAATTTGCTTTTGTCTATCATAAAATCGGAATGCCGGTTTGATTTCGGTTAACAAAAAATTCCAGGGTTTGCGAATGCTCCCAGTCTTACCGCCGTGGGGAGGCGCCGCCGCCACTCCTCGTCGTTTCTGGAAGCACCGGAAGCTGTAAGGCATCTCGTCGGGTCACTTAACCGAACTGAGGGCCTCCGTTTTGCCGTGGTGAGTTCTCGATTTAGGTCTACTGCGTAATTTTAGATGAATCATTTCACTTTCTCGTGTGATGCTTACTTATACTCTTGTCTGATTATGGTGAATTTGATTGTTTGTGGATTTCCATGGGGAAAAGGTCGTTGCTCGGTTCAATGAGATTGTGACTCGGCGGCTTTTAGAGGGAGCTATCGAGACTTTCACTAGGTATTCCGTCAAGGAAGAAGACATCGATGTATGTTGACAAAACTCTTGTAGTCCTCCTCAATTCTGTGGTTCACTCCTTTTTTTAAAAAATGCTTCTTTATCGAGCATCAAATTTTTAATGTCATTTTCAGGTTGTGTGGGTTCCTGGTAGTTTCGAAGTGGGTGTTGTTGCAGAGAAGCTAGGTAAATCGGGGAACTACAATGCAGTGCTGTGTATTGGAGCTGTGGTAACGATTAAAAGTTTCCCCTTTCTTCCTCTGTAGCTTCTTGCTTGGATTTGATTGTTCTTTTGTCAGGTGGGTTTGGCATTATAGCTTCTTAATAGGATGTAATGCTTGAACTCTATTTTCTGTGTAGATAAGAGGTGACACCTCACACTATGATGCTGTTGCAAATTCCGCTGCATCTGGAGTACTCTCAGCTGGTCTCAATTCAGGTGCATGAAGATTGTTTTTGTTTCCTTTGCATATTCATGAGTCACAATTGGTGTCCTTTCATTTTATCGCTTTTGAATTGGATATGTTTACTAGCGAAGTAACATTTTCTTCAATATTTTGGGTGTTTTGCTGGGTTATTTGAGAGAGCGATATTTGCAATACCATTCAATTGCAGCATGGTTCCCTTTCTTGTTTAAACTACATTCGGAAGTGGCATGCGAATCCATTTTGTATTGTTATAATTGAGTTCCACAATCTGCCGGGTAAAGGGGGGTTTGATGAATTGAGTTCCGCAATCGGTTAGAGAAGGCTAGAGGAGTAGAGGTACAGGATTGTGTATCATCCTGTTTTGCTTGCTGTTGTGCCCTGTGCAAAAGAAAGACTTCCTACTTGGAATCAATGATTACCAAGGGCTTGTGATCATCCCACTATGGGCAATATGCTTCAGCAGCAGAAAAGAAGCATTTGATTCTCACACTCACGTACACCTGATTGCAGTGAACTGGGTTTTTGGCATTTGAAAATAGGATAGGTTTATGGTTTGATAGAGTGCAGATTTTGGATTTCTAAGAGCAAACTGAGATTATGCATCATTTGTCACATATATGTCCACCACACAGCACAAGCAAGCTTAGAGACCTGTGATTGAGTGGCATTGTGGCACCAACGATTTCTAACGCAACATGTTGCCAAACATATCTCTGTCAAGCACTAAATATGAGAAAAGTTCATTACACGCATCGTTGTTGTTTCTAAAGGTTGATAAAGATAAGGTTCATAAATCTTTATCTACATGGGGTTTCACTCTTGGAAAGGTATGAAAAAAGGAATAGCATGATGTCCGTTACCATGTGTGTCCTTCACGCCCTTAACAATTATCTTTGTGGTCAAGAAACCAAGGATTGCAAAATTCCCCATATAGAAAGTTACACCGTCTTTCCTGAAGTTAAAGATGGTGTTTTTAATTGCAATTTCTCATAAGTTCTGGTACTGCCCAACAGTCTGTCAAGAAATCAAATTTGGACAGCTGATCATGCTGAATCCGTTTTTTTTTTTTTTGTTGTTGTTGTTAAAAAGTTCCTTATTTTTAACTTTGTTCTTATTCTGAATTGCTTTGCAGGAGTCCCATGTATATTCGGAGTTCTGACATGCGAAGACATGGATCAGGTGAGAATGTGATATGGTTTTACATACTGCATAGTCCATGCTCTTGCTGAGGCTTATGAAATGTTTATTTGTATTTTAATAAACACTTAGGCACTAAACCGGGCTGGCGGGAAAGCTGGGAACAAAGGAGCGGAGGCTGCTTTAACAGCTGTAAGTTGTTGTCTTTTATCTTTAGTAATTCAGGTGTAACCTTTCTTTGATGATTGTTTCCTAGTGCTTAGATCACGTATGGTTGATCAATAAATCCACAAGCTTGGCAGCTTTGGTCAGTTAATGAGTTTGCAGGCACTGCTGCATCATCAGCTATCAGAATTATAGCTGAACAACACAACTAGTTTTCCCTTCTGTTTAAGAATGGTACAAATATATTGCCGCCTTCGTGCCTTCAGTTATGAATTTCGATAGTCTAGGAAGCCATTTTTAACTAGAACTGCCATTGGTGAAAGTGAGAAGTGACTTCAAATCCTCTGAAATAGGAAAACTTCGTGTGAGCCTTTTCTGTATATGATTCTCCTTGTGGGCCTTTTCTTTTCACCCTACGCATAAGTAGATAGCTACCATGTCATGAAAAGCTAGGAGATTATTGCATTTCTCTTTTAGGAAGTGTAATAATATTAGCCCTAAAACCCAATGATAAAGCCTTTGTTAGATATCAGTCTTTGATTGTGGAGTTTGGGTTGCACTGCAGATTGAGATGGCATCCTTGTTTGAGCACCACTTGAAGTAGGACAGCTAATGGTACAACAATCAACTTTGGTTGCATTTGAGGGGAAATCCTACCCGGTTGCAGTTGTCTGTTGCCCAACAATGGTTGCCTCGGGTCGACTGCTGGTTTAAGTTTTCAATTGGATTGTTAGAATGTCTGGATTTTGAGATTGGCAAGAGTGCAGGAGTAGTCTAGTTTTTTTCCCCTTTGATGGTATAAATTATTCTTTGCGGTATGGAGCCTGAGGTGTGAAGTTGGAATAAAAATCATTGCAGCCTGATATGGGATCTTAGTTGAGTGTTGCATTTTGCATAATTTCTGCTAACTGCTTGATTATTCAACTAAACTATGCACATTGATGTTGTGTGTCTCGTAATCGACACTAGTGAGCATCATCAACAACAACGCAATTCGGCCGTTAGGTCAGATTCTGAATCCGTCCTGTCCGCACTGTGACATGATGACAGAGTTCTGCAGCAGGCAAGTCTATCTCAACAGCTTCCGTTGAGTCAGATTATGAATCCCTCCTGAGGACTGAATCGTTGCCGGCAGCCAATGTTGATCGCATCGTCAACGTTTCAGTAGGTAGTTCTTGCTTCATAACCGCAGGTACTCTTGCTGGTTTCCATACCTGGATAATGTAGTCATTTCACCAACCTTTCAGTATTTATTTTCTTTGACCATCACAGTCTCCTCTTTTCACAACACGTCCGTTTTCCCGTCAGAACTCTTCGGCCAAGTTCACAATTTTTGTTCATGCAGATCCTAATCAACTCACCTTCTAAACCTCGTGTAAGTTGTAGCATTGAAATCTCAGCATTGAATGATGAAACAGAAAGTCCAGCAGTTACACACATTCACCACCCTGTTGTATGCATATAAATCCCGATTCTACGTCAACAGAAAAATAAAAACACAAGCAAAACAAGCTTCACAAAACCATGAGTACCACCACCACTAGCAAAATGGTGAGAATCCAGACCTCACGCCTCGTCAAGCCCTTGTACGACGACGACGGCGGCAGCATTCCGCCGCCAACATCCGATTCCATCCCGCTCAACATCTTCGACAAGGTCACCTACAACACCCACATGGCCGTGCTCTACGCCTACCGCCCGCCCACGCCCTCAAACGCCACCATCGAACTAGCCCTCCGCAAGGTCCTGGCCACGTACAGAGTCATGGCCGGCCAGCTGGGGGAGAACCAGAAGGGCAATCCCGTCATTCTGCTCAACGATCGCGGCGTCAAGTTCGTCGAGGCCGTCGTCCACGACACCTTCGACAAGTTCCTGCCACTGGAGATGTCACCATTGCTGCTCGACTTCCACCCCGAGTTGAAGCATGCAGAGGAAATCACCCTGGTCCAGCTCACCCGGTTCGGTTGCGGGTCGCTCGTCCTCGGGTACTCGTCCCACCATCACGTGGCCGACGCGTTCTCGGCCAGTAATTTCCTCGTGGCGTGGGGTCGGGCTGCTCGAGGGCTCGAGCTGGGATCGGTTCCGTCGATGGACCGGTCCATATTCTGGCCTCGAGTCCCGCCCGAGTTCGGGTTCGACCACGTCGGGGTCGAGTACAAGAAAACCAAAAGCCTTTCCGGTCGGATTGTGGATCGCGACCGGTTTGCCGGTTCGGACATCGTGAACCACAAGGTCCATTTCACGCTTGACTTCATTGGCAAGCTAAAGGCAAGAGCATCTACCGGGAGACCAAACGGCGTCGCTGCGTACAGCACTTTCGTGAGCCTGGTGGCCCACTTGTGGCGGGCTATAACCAAGGCCCGTGGGCTGAGCCCAATCGAGACGACGTCGGTTCGGATCTCCGTCAACGGGCGGACCCGGCTGAGTCTCGATCCACCGGTCCCGCCGGATTTCTACGGCAATTTGGTCCTGTGGGCGTTTCCGACGGCGAGGGCGAAGGAGCTCGTGAGCAGGGCCGATGGGTTACGCGGCGAAGATAATCCAAGACGCGATTGTGCGCGTGGACGATGCTTACTTCAAGTCGTTCATCGACTTCGCGTCGCAGGAGGCGGCGGAGGGGGAGGAGGGGATCTGGTGCCGACGGCGGATATGGGGAAGGCGGCGCTGTGGCCGGATCTGGAGGTGGACAGCTGGCTGAGGTTTCCTTTCTACGAGTTGGATTTCGGCGGCGGGAGTCCGTTCATATTCATGCCGTCGTATTACCCGACGGAAGGGATGATGTTTCTGCTGCCTTCGTTCTTGGGGGATGGGAGTGTGGACGCGGTGGTTCCGTTGTTCCGCCAGAATTCGGCTGTTTTCAAACAAATTTGCTATTCCCTGGATTAGAATAGAGAAATTTGATAGGTAGTGTTGTGTGCGAAGGGATGGCGTGAGAATTGATTACTGGAATTTGGATTCTGAAATTTGCTGGTTTTGATAATCCTCTCAAGTCCTAGTGCTGTCAATTTGGTTTGGTTTTATTAATCAAACCATTAAGTATGAAAAACCAATAACCAAATAAAGTAAACTACCAAAAACCAAAATCATTAACCAATAAGGGCCTTAACGGTTTGTGGTTTGGATAACCACAAAACCAAAATGTATTCATACACTTAGAGGTGTACATAGGTCGGGTGGTTCGCACATATATCTCAAATCTAATAGTTCGAACTTCACTCTTTCTCTAAGGACTTGCCGGTCAATCTCTATATGCTTGTTTCTCTTGTGAAACACAAAATTTTCTACCATGGGATGGTGGATTTGTTGGTGTAGTATATGATAGTGGAATGTAGATGTGAAACATCTAGATCTTTGAGCAATTGAGTCATCCATTGCACTTCACAAGATGACTGGAGTAGTACTTGTATTCTGTTTCCAATGATGACTTCATAACAATCACTTGTTTCTTCAACTTTTCATGTAATCAATGAGCTTTCAAGGAACATACAATACTCAATAATCGATCTCCACGTCTTAGGCCAAGCCCCTTAATCCAAGTCATTGTATCGTGTAAGTGAAATTAAAGCACTCGTTGTGACCTCCAAACCCATAAAGTACTTCAGCTTTCGTAAATCTCTTACTTTACTTGTGTGACAAAACTTTTTCCGCTAATTTTATCAAATTCTAACGATCACCTTCTAGGATCGGATCATCAACATATACAAGCATCATTCTAGTTCCTTGATAAGCTCTTTGATGACTAGGGAATAGTCATAATAAGGCTAAGTTAATCAAATATGACTAGAGCTTCAGTTAGTTTGGGCAAACCATTGTCCACTAGTTTGTTTAAGTCCATATAAGTAGTTCCTTCATTTGCAAATATTATGTGTCTTCATGTTAGTAACTTCATGTACGCATCTTCTTCCAAATCCATATGCAAGAATTCATTGCTTATGCCCATCTAGATTATATGTCAATTCTTCATTGATGCAAAGTGTTTAGTATAACTCTTACAATATCGATCTTGACTAGGGATGGCAATTTACCCATCCATGGGTAATTTTGCCCAAACCCAAGTAGACCCATTTATTATGGGTAGGGTTTTGGGTGATGTGTGTATGGGTTTGGGGTTTGTATATGGGTTTGGGTTAAATATGGATATTATCTAAATGGGTATGGGTTGGATATGGATATCCATTTACTTGATGGTGTTTTAACTACACATGCAAAAATTGGACCTATTTGTAAAACTTGAAAAATTTAGGTACCAAAATGTAAGACAAAAAAATTTAGGTACCAAAACGTAATTTTCCATCGATATTTGAGGACTTATATGCAAAAAAAATTAAATTTAGGTACTAAATATGCATATCTATTAAGTTTAGGTACCAAACTATAATTTGTATTTGGGCATTGGGTACAAACCCAAATCCATTTGTTATAAACCCAACCCAACCCAAAGTAAATGGGTATGGGTACAAACCCATCAAACTTTACCCATATCCATATATTTGGATTTCATACCCAACCCAATTGGGTTGGATAGTAAAATACCCATGGGTATGGGCAAAATTGTCATCCCTAATCTTGACGAAGTGTATAAGAAATCAGTAGCATAGGCTTGGGTGAAGCCATGAGCATTGCCTTGTATCTTTCAATTGATCCATTCGCATCGAGTATGGTCTTGAATAACCATTTACGACCCACTAGCTTTTACCTTGTGGTCAGCCCACTATATCCCGGGTTGATTATCCTATTAAAGTTGTCACTTCAGCTTGCATTGC